TCCAGATTGAAAAAATCATGCAGAAGCTCATGAGTTGTGAGCCAGTCAAGACAGCCAGCCCTTTGTTTTAAGATAGCTGAAGATTAGTTCAGAATCCTTCCTGAGAGACCGGGCAGCACCCTGCAGGGTGTGCAGAGGATGTGCTCGCTTCAGAGTAATTCAGCCAGGGTGTGCTGGTATTAGGGGATCGAGGAGGAGTCATGAGGAGTAGCAGCAGGGGTGTCCTAGCAACTTCTGCTAAAGAGACCGGGATGGAGAGGTGGTACCATATTGTCACTCATCTCTCTTCCATTCCCAGAGATTTCTTGCTCAACAATGAGCTTGCAGTGAGTGGGGAACAATCCTGCTTAGGGTGTCCAGAGTAGATGTGTGGCTTTGATCCAACAAAAGGTACCTTCCTGAGCACCTACAGAATGGTGTGCTTATCTGGCTTCATGCCTACCTTCCCTGGGAAGGAGGCTATGACTGCAAATGTCCACCAAGTCCCATCTGTCTCAGTCTTTCTCAGAAACAGCAGAAAATTTTACTTCTGTGCATATTCTAGAGCTACGAGCATGAAGCGTTAAGAACTGAACCCTCTATTGGGAATGAAAACACATACTTGAACTTAGTAAATGCAGCACACTTCCTGTGTATTACTGCTAATTGTGCATACAGTTTCATTTACACCTCTCACAAACCTAGAGCTTTATATCTGACAGAGTCTGTGTGACAAATGGTTCCTTCTCACACCACTATATACACAGAAGTACTGTTCTGCTTCTAGGAGACCTTCCTGGCTGGTCACAGAGGTGACTTATATTTACTTACCTTTACAGGCCTGGCTCCAGCTCAGTGTCTAACATGCAGTCCAAGCCCAGAGCACATCAGCCAAGGGGGGAAAGGCAGAGTGGAAGCCTCTTGCCAGCACACAGCTGCACCCCGCCCTGGCCGGGCTTTCATTGCTCTGCTCACACTGTCCTCTTCATCCCTGAGCGTCAACGTGCATAGAGGGTCGGTGCCACACAGGTGATATTCCGTAAGATCGCCTCTTTCCGAGCCCAGAACCAAGTTTCTAAGAGACCAAAGAAAATACCCAGATGGCTTTTGCCAGCAATTAGGTTTAAAGCTAATTAACAGGCCTCAGCTGCGACATCCCTGTGAAAGAGGCTCACACCCAGCAGACAAGGATCCAATGACACTTCCGGGCCAAATCCCTCGGGAGAACATGCAAGTCAACAGCTGTGAAGTCAACAGTGTTGCCTCGAAGGTGCGGTGGAGGGGTAGGCACATGGCCCAGCAGCACATGTGCTCTAGCTCACCGCAGGGAGGAGTTTGTAGCCAACCCGACATGGCAGTGACACCACGAGCTCTGTTCCTTTGTGTGACCAGAACACCAAGGAGCCGGCTCAGCTCTTGACCAGAAGCAGCGCCCCCAGAGGGCACAGGCTGCCTGGCTCCCCTCAGATGACACTTACACTCACACTCCACCCCTGTCTGCTGAGCAGGTCCCCTTGACTGGGCAAGAGTCTTGGGAGCACCAGGTGCTTCTGGGGTCACAGTGCTGGGAGGCCTGGATTCTTCCTCAAGGACGGTACAACGCCTTCTACTTGTTCACCTGCTCCACCCGGGGCTGGCATCTTTCATGGCACATGCAGTTCATCCTTCCTGCATCTCCTACCGCCTCTGATGCTTCCAATATCCTCTTTACTTTCCAGGTCTCTGGCTTGGCCTCACTTCTCCTAAGCCTTGGGCCTCAAACACTAGCTATCCATGCAGGGCTCTTTATTTGTTTAAATTTCTGGTCTCAGCTTCTCCTCTATACCCCGCTCACATCTAGTCAGAGGCTGCCACCTACCCAACCAACCCTTTACATGTGACCTGTCCTCCTGCCCACCCAAGGATCGACACCCATTGCTGGCTGGCACTGTACAGTGCTGTTCTGTAAGGCCACTCTTGACCTCCACCCTCTTCCCCTGCCCACCACACCATGACCCTGGGAGCCTACCACCCACACAGGTCCCCTTCTTTATTCTTTTGGCTGTGCGGGCATAAAGTTCTCATCATTGTTAGCCTCACCTTCAATCCATCAGGAAATCCAGTGAGTTCTGCCTCTGAAACATGGCCAGGACATGACTGTGACCCACTGCCATGTTACAGACCATGACTCTGTGTCCCTATTGGACCCACATCACCAGCCTCTCCCACCTGCATTACATCGGCAACCTCGACCTCAAGGCCGTGGGCCTGCTCATAGTTCTGCCCTGCCTCAGTTTCTCCTCCACAGAGTAGGACTATCCCTTCACGAATGTCGGCTACATGCTTCATTCTGGCTACTGAGAGGGCCTTGAATCTGTGGACAGGAGATGCCATGCAGGGGTGCCACCAGAGGTTGGAGTCCTGCAGTGCCAAGCTGGGGAAAGTGGAGGCAGGAGAAGCTGGCCAGCCATGGGGCAAGTCTTTCTCAGAGGGAACCAGTTCTGTGAACGTCTTAACTTCAGATCGGGCTCCAGAAAAGTGACAGAAGAGAACTCTGCTGCTTTGAGCCATTCAGTGTGTAGCAAGTTCTTACAGCAGCCCTAGCAAATGAAGACCCTTAACTGTGCATTAGGGACAAGTCATTCGATACCACGAGCCCCCTCTGTCCAACTGTAAAGTAGGACAATCGTACCTACATCCTATGTGATCCACAAGCTCTGTAGTCACAAACTGGAACCTGGGTCTTATACCACCAGGAGTAGGTGAGTGTTTGAAAAACTTTTCAAAGTAAGAATATTTATCACTTTTTCAATAAATGCTAAAACACTGTGCAGACTTACAAGAGAAGCACTTTAAATATGAGTTTCACACCTGTACTTGTAGCCACACTCCATTCTGGATGAATTCTGGAGACCCCTACAGTTCTCCCACTCACACCACCCAAGCGGCCCCACACTCTACCAGGGTTTCTGTGCTTCAAATTTCATGAAGTTTAACCTTGTCTTCCTCACCCTTGTGGCTCCTGCTGGACAAAGGAGACAGAGGAAGGGACAAATGCAGAGAAGTCAACATGTCCCATGAACTGTGGGACTCTTCTGCCTCCCTGGCCCCAGGCCTCCTGGGATTCCTTCACGGCCATAGTCTTCATTATTGGTGTGTATGACTATTGATTTCATATACGTACACCAGTCAGCTATTTCTATGACAATGCTTCAAAACGAACATCCCCCAACCTTGGCAGCTTATGAAAACGCACATTTTCCTTGCTGATGAGCCTCAAAATGCATGAGGGGTCCCAGTCTGCATCTTGGGTCCCTCATTCTGGGAACAGCCTACCCTGGGCCAGGCCTTCTCAGGGTGGATGGTAGCAGCAAGACAGAAGGCACACACTTGATATCCCTTACATCCTTCATGCGTGGCTGGCACGGTCACTTTCTCCTGCATACCCCAACCCTAACCCCAGCCCACATTCTCCCCAGTCCCTTTGAGGTGCCTCCTTTATGCTGATGTGGCCAGACCACACCACAGGTGCCTGCTGGCAGCGCAAATGGCTGCGCATACTCCCCAGTCACTTATTTCATGATTTTGGAAAGATCCTTGATAGAATCCTAACAGCAAGCTGAAGAGTTACTGTTCACCCCATTTCACAGAGGCAATGCAGGAGGACACACAGTCAGCTCCAGGAAGGGCAGTTAGGGCCAAAGCCCTGGGTGGCCTGCCGCTCTCAGCTCTGCCTGCGGAGTGAAGTCCCGTTCAGGAAGTCCTTGTCTGTGCTTGTGGCTTCAAGGGCCTTCGACAGTTTCAAGATTTCTGTTTTTATACGCAGGTCTTCACTGCATTGTGATCTGATTTTAGTACAGGTGAGAGGCAGGAATTTAGTTTCAGTCTTCTGCACAGGGATGCCCGTGTTCCCAGCTCAGTGCGCTACAGAGGATGGGTGTTCTCTACTTTAAAAAGTGGGGTGAGCTGGAGGTTTATGATTTTCACCAGAGGAGCATTTTGCTAAGAGCCTAGTGATGGCTCTTTAAACCTTTTGTGGGTCTTACTGCAGTCTTTAAAAATGAAAAGTAAAATTTGGAAATTCAACCTAGTGGAGTAAATCGTTTATCGGAAAATAAGGACAGACAGAGGAAAAGACTAGCGGAAAAGGCAAGGAAGAGAGAGGAGAGGAGCCAAACCTCTTTCTAGCAAAGCAAGCGCCCAGCAGAGGGCGGGACGATGCCGGAGATGCCGCGTCGCACTAGGAGGCCGGGTGGGCGGCTCGCGCGGCCCAGAGCCACCAGGCGCTCCCTGGGGAGCCCTGGGCAAGAGCCACCAACCTATCCTGCGAGCGAGGTGCACAGCGCGTCCCAGGCCTTAGGAGGCCGGGGTGCTCGCCTTTCCTGACACCACTTTGAGCTCCAACCGAGCTCAGGGATCCAGAAAGGAACCCCGCCCCTCAATCTGGTGCCTGTGCCGGGCAGTTTGGGGGAATCCCGAGGCCCACGCCCAGCTATGCCCACAGAGAATAATTTGGGGCGATAAACCATGGCTCTCTTGGGCCTCAGTTTCCCCATGAAGAGGGAAATCGTATTCGGTCCCACAGGGCGGGCTCCACTTTTGTTCAGTGGGAAATCTAGGAACACACAAAGGAGCGGCGTGGCGCGTGTGCTGGAGACGAGCGGCACCGAGTGCCCATCAGCGTCTTCACCGCGGGCCCGGGCGCCTGGGCTCCCTCGGGACGCACCCGGCGCTCCCCGCCCTGGGGACACGGCCCGCATTACTAAGCGGGGGAGCAAACCTTACTCTGGGGCGTTTGCAAGGGGGCGTGGACGACGGTGCCAGTGATATTCTGGCCGGGCCAACCCATGAGACAGTGGTCCTGAGCCACCGTCCTGGGCAAGCCCGTGCACCCCGCGGCTGCTCAGTGGGTCCCGAGCTCCATCCTCCCCGCCGCACTGGGGCTGCGCTCCTCCGCCGCGCCCCTCAGCACGGCCCTCGCCAGTTCTGTTCCCTCCCCTCCTCGCTCTCCTCCCTCTCCTCCTCTTCCTCCTCCTCCACCCGCCTCCTCCACCTTCTCCCGCCCGCTGCAGCTCGCCAGCCGCGCAGCGAGGTGGCCCCGGCGCGGGGAGTCCCGGGCTCCCCAGCCTACACAGGCGCGGGGTGCTGCCGCCCTGAGGGCGCGGCTGAGGGCGCCCGCAGTAGGGGGCGTCCGGAGAAGGGGGCGCGGCGGCGCCGTCCCCGCCCCTGCGTGGCTCTCGGCCCCTCCGGCTCCGCGACTTGGACCTGAGCTGGGCTCAGCGCCTCGCGCTCCCTGCGCGCGTCCCGCCCCCCGCAGCCCCACGGCCGGGCATGTAGCAGCGGCTGCAGCTGCGGGCTCCGCGGCAGAATATGGGCGGGAACCACTCCCACAAGCCCCCAGTGTTTGACGAGAATGAGGAAGGTAAGAGGGCAGGGGCGCAGCTCGCTCGGGCGTCGGCCCAGCTCCCCCTCCCCGCCGTCCTCTGCTGCGCGCTGCGGGGCGCGGGGACCCAGGCGCGGCCACGTCGCGGCGGGCGGAGGGCCGGGCCGGGTGCCAGGCGCGGGGCTTCCACCGGGGCGACTGCTGGGCATCGCGTGCCCTGAGGGGGTCAGACGAGGCCGAGCGCGAGCTGGGGCGGCAGATTCGCAGAGGAAAGCGGGGCCCAAACTTGCGGTGTCGCAGGGAGGACTTGGCTTGGCAGCTAGTGAGGATTTTGCTTGCCTCGGGTTCCTGGGAAGCCAGAGTGGCCTTTTGAGCTTGAGGCTGCAGGAGATGGCCTGGGCTGATGGAAGCACCGTGTGTGTGTGTGTGTGTGTGTGTGTGTGTGTGTGTGTGTGTGTGTGTGTGTAAGCAGGTGCCCACTCCGCAGCTGGACCGTGCATGGCCCAGAACAGTTTAATGAAACTTTCTTGGCTAAACTCCATCCCTCTAAGGAGGGCATCCTGCTGGCCCTGGCCTCCCTGAGGGAGGAGTGATACAGGATTCAGCCTCACTCGAATTCCAGTAGTGGGGGTTAGGTCCATACAATTGGACGTTTGGTCCAGCTGAACCCATCTTGCATCGCTGTGTGTCCATTGACCTCTCTGAAGCACAGTCTTCCTCACCTGTGAGCTGAGCATGTTGCAATGCCCCCACTTCCTCAGAGGATTAACTTTAACCACCAGCGGTGCAGCTGCAAAGTGCCTTATAAGTAAAGGTAAGAAATCCACAACTACACAAATATTGCTGGTTTTCAGTTCATAAACCCCTGCCACCAAAACTGGCTTCTGCCTGGGCCGACTTGCCAAGGAAGAGCAGGCAGTACTGAGCTTTGCTGTGGGCCAGGTCCTGGGCTGGGGTTCCCTCTAACCCTCCTTGTGCCCCATGAGGTGCATACTGTTTGACAGCTGAAGAAAGGGGCCGTGCTTGCCACAGCTGACCCAGGGCAGCACTGGCCTCAGGGCTATGTCACTACTGTCCAGGGCACAGATTTCTGTGCACACAACTGGCTCCTTGGGCTCCTAAGGCAGCCAAGGAGCTCCATGGGTGCTACTCACATGCCCCGTAGGGAGCCCCTGTCCAGAACATAGACGAGGGCACCAGTAAAGTCAGAGAAGCCAGGCCCTACTGTGTGCGCCAGGCCTGAGTAGTCCTTCCCTTGAAGGGCTAACTCCTCAGTGACACCCAATGACTGACTGTTCCTGTTGACCAGGGCAATGGGGATCAGCACAGAGCTTGGGAGGCCCAGAGAGGCATCGGCTCTTCCTGACGTTTGATCTGGAGCATAGCCAAGTCGGAGACATAGCCAAGTGAGGACCGGGAGAGGGAAAGAGAGTGGGAGAGAGAGATACAGAGAGAGACACACACAGAGAGAGACACAAACAGATACACGCGCGCGCACACACACACACACACACACACACACACACACAGAGAGAGAGAGAGAGAGAGAGAGAGAGAGAGAGAGAGAGAGAAATTTCAGAGGCTTTTGGAAGGCTCTTGGGCTTCTTAGTGAGGGCAGACGCCAGGAGCTTCACTCCCAATGTCAGGTGTTCATGGCTCCAGCCTGGGTCAAGGTCTTGCTCTAGGGAATTTTCTCCACATTGTCCCATCTCTTTTCTCTTTCATTTTATTGACCGAGAACACTCACTGCCTTTGGGTTGACAGCTATCCTTCATTCCAGAAAATGTGCTTTAAACTGTTTCTTGGTGTGGCTAGTATTTTCTGGCCTAGGCCACCTTTCTGTTTCCCTGCTGTGGTTCTTCATCCTGGAAGTGGATTGGTGTCACCTGCTTGGGTGCCAACTGAAGCCCAAGGTTGGGGCTCTCCAGCCCAGTGAAACATTAACTTGTTGGATTTTGTCAGAGAATGTCTCAGAACTTCCAGTGCAAGCAAAGCATTTGCAGTGTTATTTGGCACCAACCGAGTCATGCATTTCCATGCTCATCTTTTCCGCGCCTACTTCCTGTGCTGCAATGGAGGGAAGGTGGAGGGCCCCGGTCCTGACAGTGTGGTGGTAGGGGTCGGGGAGCTCCTGCTCTTCGAGGGCCAGTTCCGAGGGAGGGAACAGCCGGGCAAATGCAGATTGTGAAGACTGCATGTGGTCCTTTGGGGTGGCAGCTGCCCCTGTCACGTGGAGCACGAGGCTGGAGGGCACCAGTGCTGGCCCAGCCTTAGGGACGCAGTGGTCACGTGAAGGTGCTTGAGCTTGCTCTCCCAGGCATTCTGGCATCACAACGGGACTTAGGCACCTTAGAAGGTGCCATGCTCTAGTGAACACACACTTGCCCTGAGCCGTAGTTGCCAGGTGGCTGTGAGGGCAAACACCAGCCTGGCCAGGGCAAGTGGGATTGAAGTACCTTCATGCTAAGCAAAGCTACCATTGCCTGTGATGCCACAACCACCTCCACTGTTGGGGCCAAGTGTGGCTCGTGGACACAGCTCACTGGATCAGGCTAACTGGAAGGCCGGGGGAAGCTATTCAATGGACGGAAAGAGTCCTGACCTGGGTCCCCTGCACATTCTTTCTTCTGGTGGTAGTGAAAGAATGATGCTTTAGCTGTCGATGGCTGGACTGGGTGGAGATGGTCCCGTGGCTGAGTGCCCTTGAGTTTCAGCAGTGTGAAGTGCTCTTGAGGGAGATGATTAGCTCCGGCCACTTCACAGCACCCATTGTCAATACCATTGTGCCTCATGCAGTGGTCATGGCTCTTCATAGATTATTGCAGTGGCTCCTTGGCTGCCCTGCTGCTGCCCCACCCGCCTCACAGTCACCTCAGTGCAGGTCAGTCCTCTGCTCAGTCCCCCTGCCTGGCACCGCCCTCCGGCCCAGGTGCCACTCACAGCAAGGAGAGAATAAAAGCTGACGTCCTTCGTCCTTCTAGACGCCCGCCCTCGGACCTCACCTGTCTTTCCTGCTCCTCAGACAGGGCTGGCGCCTCGCGTCTGCTGCCTGAGCTCGCGTGAGACCCTCACTGCTCACCCTGTTTGCGCTGGAGCACCCAGTCCTTCCCTTGCTTTGCTTTCTCTAACACTTCAACAAGGATCTTGCTTATTTCCTTAGTTGTTGTGTCTTCCTTCCTCCCCTCAGCAGCAGATGCCATAAAAGCAGTGCTTTGTGTATAATTGTTTGTCTCCTCATAAAGTTTCAGGCTCCTCAAACTTAGGAATCTTGCAGACTGGATTCAAGATCTAAAATGACACCTGGTCTTAGAGCTGCTTTGTAAATGTTTGGGGAGTGGCTGACTAACTGCATGATTGAAAGTGCTAGCCTTGTCAGCTGTGGTTGGACCAGGTTCTCAGTGACATCGGGGATCCTCCTCCTCATGCTTTCTCCCCTCGTTGGACTGTGGTCTTGGGCGCGCTCCCTTCCCATGTGACTCCCATTCTTGGGAGTCCTAGTCTTGCAGCTCTGAGTGAGGAGAGTCTTTCTCATCATCTTTGCAGAGAATGTCAGTGGGTGACTTAGGGTTAGTTCTGACTCTGTCTTGGGACATTCTTGAATCCATTCCTTTAACTAGGGAGAGATGGGCCTCTGACTGGTTTTGTGTGGAGCAGGTGGTGGAATCACCTCCATGTGAGGTTTTTGTGTAGAAAGTGTATGAGAAAAAAATTCTTCAAGGAATATTAAAATTTCACAGGGACAAAGGCTGAGAGATACTTCCTAGCAGGTAGATCAAATAAGCAAAACCCCATCTGCTTCAGCACCTGTTACCATGGTGTTCTTTGTTTGGAACACCTGGCTTATCTTGTTTAGTTGCTGGGTTCTTCATGCAACTTTCTTTTGCTGTAACAAATATCCAAGACAGCTAACTTATTAAGAGAGAGAGTTTCTTTTGGTTCACAGTGTTGGAGGCTTCATTCCAGGATTGACTGGACTGTTGCTTTGGGTCTGTGGTGAGACAGCACATCCTGGTGGGAGAACATGGCAGAGAAAATCCAAAAGTGAAAGAGAAGACCAAGCACAGCGTCTCAATGACACCAAGTCTCCAACTAGGCCCCTCCTTTAAAGGCTCCATGCCTCCTGGCACTGCCCTGGGGACCAAACCCTTCACAAACAGGTATTTGGGAGCATTTGCTGTCCAAACTAGAGCCCACACTGGACTGGGGCCTCCTTGTAGGGCAGCAGTTACGTCTTTTTCATTTTTGCATCTACGAGACCTCAAGCAGAGCCACTGGAGGCACATGGCAGCTGCGCAAAGATAGAGAGCTATTTCTTTTTGAAATAAAGATGAAAGCAATCACTTATTGGGGGCCTATTTCTTCTGTCTTTCCGAGTTCTGCAGCCATCAGGAAGCAACACATACGTTTCAGGTCTATTAGCAGTAAAGTTTGTTTGGAGAGTTCACCGTGGATTTGAGGCCAGAACGGCCTTCCTCCTTGTGTGGCTCAGCCTCCACACTGGGACTTACTTGAATGGAGAACCAAGCATTCGGACTGGACCCTGTGCTTCAGCAGGGTCTCCTGATTATGGTACCTCGAAGACCCTGGGAAACTGCTGCAGGACGTGCAGAAACAGTGGCTATCACAGCCGGGGGTGTCAGACTGTGAAATATCAACTCTCGGGACCTCAGTTCTTCCCATCCAGAGAGAAAGCAGAGCTTCCCCTCATTCCTGCATTGGGGCAGATGAGGGTGGTTGTCCCCCTCTGGGAAGTGTATTGTGTTTTGGGGCAGATGACGGTGGCTGTCCCCCTCTGGGAAGTGTATTGTGTTAGCAAGGAGGCAGGATTTTTGTTGAGTGCTGAAGGAAGGCATTGGCTGCTTTGGGAGAAAAGGGATCCATATTTTAGGAGGATCAAGCAGCATAAGCTAGCACTGAGCTTAGGTATTTTCCTGGAAGGAACAAATATTCTTGGTAATAGACAGTTAATCTAAAATTTGGAGCAATCACACACAGAAATGGAGAAAATGTTTAGGTACTACCACGCTAAATGGATTAGC